TGAGCTGAGCTGCCAACATATGGCAGGATGGCTCAGCTGGTAAGAGCACATGCTCCTAACAACAAAGTTGCTTGTTTAAGATGGTGGGCTGTGCCTGCCCACAACTAAAGACTGAACTCTGCACCATGAGCTGAGCTGCTGCCTGGGTGGCTCAGGGAATAGAGTGTGCGCTGTTAATAACAAGGCTGCTGGTTCGACTCCCTCATGGGATGGTGGCTACGCCCACCCACAACTAATTGAACACAGCACCTTGAGCTGAGCGGCGCAACTGGACTTGGAGCTGAGCTTGCTGCACCCTCCACAACTAAGATTGAAGGACAACAACTTGGCTGTTCCCTTTCCCCAATTCCCCAGCACTGTTCCCCTCCCCCAACTCCCCAATAAAAAATCTAAAAAAATAGATTAGCCAGGTTCTGCTGCAACAATAAGCACCCTCCAGATTTCAGAAGCCTAATATTCAAAGTTTCTTTATCACTCACTTTAGATATCCAAAATGAGTGCTGGGGGCTTTGCTCATCTTAGTCACTCAGAAAATCAGGCTTTATTTCAATATTTGTATTCATCATTCCTGTGGCAGTGGGAAGGGAATGGGGCAAATCATGCACTGGCACTTAAATTTTCCACCCAAAAGTGACACATCACTTTTGCTATGATTTCACCAGCCGAAGCAAATCTGATGGCCATGCTCACCCCCAAAGAGTAAAGGGGGTAATGTTCTACCATGAAATTAAAAAGAGGAAAGTTAGAAATATTAGATGAACTACACTAATAATAAGTGATTCTGTATTCTAACACTTTAGAAATGACTAGTAGAAAGAAAATACAACAAAGAGACAAAAATTCAGTAACAAACAAGAATCAAACAAATAATAAAGGGACTCATATTAAAATATAACATAAGGGTCCTAAAAGGTCTATACAGTGAATTCGTCAACTTCTAAATATTAAATGAAGTATCTGATTAACACAAACTCTAGGTTGGTCTGATTTTCTGTATAAAGAAGCTGATGTTTGACCAAGGAGTAAAAGCATTTCAGTGGAGGAAAGACAGTTTTTAAAAAATGATGCTGTAGCAAATGTACATTCATAGGCCAAAAAAGTGAACCTTGATCTAAACATCACATCTTATATAAAAATTAACTTAAAAAATCATAGATTTAAATGTAAACCTTAAAACTAAATCATAGATTTAAATGTAAAACTTAAAACTTTAAAAATAGGAGAAAAAGTTTGGGATCTAGGGCTAGGCAAAGAGTTCTTAGACTTTAAGATGTCAAAACACACTCCATAAAAGGAAAATTTGATAAATTGGACCTCATCCAAATTAAATTTTGTTCTATGAAAGCCTATGGGAAGAGGATGAAAAAGACAAAATATAGTATGGGAGAAAATGTTTGCAAACCATGTGTGCAACAAAGGAATAATATCTAGTATATATAAATAACTCTCAAAATTCAACTGTATGAATACAATCCAATTAGAAAATATGCAAAATAGATGAGGAGACATTTCACCAAAGAGGATATACAGACATCAAATAAACACATGAAAAAATGGTAGATACCATTAGGTGTTAGGGAAATGCAAATTAAAACCACAATGAGATGCCACTTTACACCTATCAGAATGGCTAAAATAATGACAACAACAAATGTCAACAAGCATGCAAAGAACCTGGATCTCTTGTGCATTGCTGGTGGGACTATAAATAGCACAGCCACTCTGTAAAAGCACACGGATGCCCTTACAAAATGAAACATGCATTTACCATACAATCTGGGAATTGCACTGTTGGGTATTTATCTCAGAGAAATGAAAATTTATATTTATGCACCATCTGTCGACAAGAGTTCATAACAGCTTTATTTATAACTGCCAAAATCTGGAATAAACCCAGATGTCCTGAAATAGATGAATGGTTAAATAAGCTGGGATACATTCATACCATGGAATACTACTCAGCAATAAAAGGAACAAATTATTTTTTTTCACTGATTATTATTTTTAATAAAATACTTCATGAGGGTCTACCACATGGCAAGCATGGGCCCTCTTCATGGCTGTATCTCCAGGGCCTAACACAGTGCCTGGTGGGTTGGAGGGCTCAGTATATATGTCCATGGATAAGTGATTGCATAAATGAATGAATGGCTTTTCCTTACCATGTGGCACTGGGCATCTTTAAGACTTCCATAGAGAAGTCACCCCCAGTATTATGGAAGGCCTATGCAAATCCCTCCCTTTAAGACATTATCCGTGACATCTAGGAATTTAGCAGATGGAATGGAAGGCACCTAAAGGCAAGGTGGCTGAGGAGTCAGATATAAAAGGAACACATTCTTGATACCTGAAACAACTTGAATGGGTCCCCAGAGAATTATGTTGAGTGAAAAAAGCCAATATCAAAAGGTTACATACTGTACGATACCATGTATTATAACATTCTTCAATGACAAAGTTATAGAGATAGAGAACAGTTTAGTGGTTGCCAGGGAGCTAGAATAGGGGGATAGAAGCTGGATGTGATTATAAAAGATTAACACTGAGAATCCTTGTGGTGTTGGTACTGTTCACTATCTTGACTGTGGTGGCCACACGGACCTTAAACATGTGATACAATTTCAGAGTGAAACACACAGACAAATGGGTGCATGTAAAACTAGTGAAACTGGAATAAGGTGGATGGATTGTACCAATGTCAGTTTCCTGTTTGTGATGTTGTACTATAGTTTGGCATGATGCTACCATTGGGGATCAAGGATATTCAGAATTCCTCTGAATTATCTCTTATAACTGCATGTAAATCCACAATTGTCTTGAAATAGAAGTTCATATACATATATATATATATATATATGTATATATATATACACACAATTTGCAATGAAAAACATAGAAAAAATACATCATGTCTTTTCCGACAACCCAGTATATATATAATGATCTACGCTGTAATTCCCATTTAATAAATAGAGAAAAAATAGGCTTGGAGAAAATCATCAGTTTAGCTTGAATAAGACTTAGTAGGAAGTCTACGGTAGGACTCACCCAAATTAGAGTTCCCAATTCTAAAATCAAGACTGGAACTAGGACTGCCAGCATTTACACTAATGAAAAACCTTTCAGAGAATTCCAGCAGCCCCTTTACACAGTTGCCAAGTGTATAAGAGATCCTGAGCAAAAACTGCCCAGTTGAGAACCATTTGATCACCATACATCGATTTTCGCTTTTCAGCCACTAGGTTTTGAGATGATTGGTTATGCTGCAATCAGAATACTACACCAAGCATGGAGAGTGAGTGGTTGTGGCCAAATGGATGAGTTTTTAAATCTCAGTGAGTCTACCGATTTTAAATGCTAGGATCCATGTTTGTCCCAGGCTGTTCCCTGAATCCCATTTTCCTGAAGACTCTCTAAGCATGTTGGGAGTGATGATGGGGGTTGGGGTATGCAAATAAAAAGGAAATTGAACAACAAGTCCTTACCCTTAAAGAACTCACAGTCTAGTGAGACAAAAACAGCAGTGCAGTGCATTAAATTGCACGGGAAGAGCTATAAGGCAAATCAGCAAGTTCAAACTAATATACCACAGCACAAATTGAAGGCATGTGGCAATGGCTGGCTACCCAAGCACCAGAATGAAGCTAGACAGTTTGGGCCCTGGAGGCAACATTTCAGAAAGGGTCCCCCTTCCTTTGTTAATCGTGAAATAAACATCTCCAGCAATGTAGGGGCTAGTTGGATGATATTAACACTTTTGAAGAAGAAAAAAAAGGAGTTAATTTCCACAATTATTCTTGCTTTAATTTGCCCTTGTTCTCTACTCCTGATAGGTGTATTTCTGGCAAACCACAATTTCCCTCAGTATCAATTTTCTCATCTATAGTTTGGAGATAACAACCAGAGAGTAGTGGGTTGAAAGTCAGGAAGTCTGAATTGGAATTTCAAATCTATCATTGACTGGCTGTGTGACCTTGGATACATCACTTCCTCTCCCCATCAATTTCTTCTTCTGTGACATGAAGAGGTTGAGCTGAATGGTTCCGAAGTTCCCCACCAGCTCTAACGCTTGAGGCTAGACAGTTCATAGTTTGTTGTGAGAGTTTAAAAAGTAGTGATGATCTATATGAAAGTATTCTGTAAGCCATAAAGTAATATATCAATGTTAGGGATATCAATATTATCCAGTTCTACGTCCTCAACAAAAAGTCCTGCTGCTCTCCTCCAAATTTAGGGGCTTAAAATATAAATGGGTACTATCTGTCAAGGCAGCACTGTCCCGGCCTTAGAAGTTTCTGATAATTCTTTTTAACTATCTCTCATAGAATAAACACGAATTTGTACTAGTCTGTCTCAAGCTTACCAAGGCATCAGCAGTGATTTCAGGGTCGGGTTCTTGTCCCAACTCAGAATCCTAGGGACTGCTAGAACAGGGGAGGCTATGGTGGGCTACTCCAAGTTTGCTTCAAGACCCTTAGTGATCGTAGAGGCTCCTACCACGGGACTTGGGAGGCCTCTTTGTGGGAGAAAGTAGATTTCCAAGTCGTCCCCTCTCCCTCCACACACCCCCCATCTCTACCCCTGCCTTTAAGGACACCAACACTTTGTTACTTTAATAGCTGCAATGGGGATTTGGGAAATGCCCCGAAATGATAAGCAACTTGCTAGGGCACAATTTGTGAGGCCAGCTAATCCTGCGTCCTCTGCACCAGCTCAGGACCAGGCCAAATGCATGCACCCAGAGAGTCCTTTGTGCCTGAGAAGAGGGATGCAGGCTTCGAGGCACGGAAGTCAGAGGGTAGGGAGTCTCAAGGCGGGCAAGAGTGGTGGGGAGTTCCTAGGTGCATCCTGAGCAGAGGAGGAGGAGTGGCTGGACGAGATGTGCGGTCCCTTTAAGACCCCAACGCTTGCTTAGCCAGAGGAGGGGGGTGTAGTGGGGGCGCTGCGTGATGGGAAAGTCGCCGGCTAAGCCTCACACTTTCTCCGGATTTCTTAACTTTTGGGTGGAGGGAGTAGGAATAAAGTTGTTGTGCCGGGGCGGAGAGGGGGTGCCGGCTGGCTGCTACTGCGCGCTCGCGGGCTTCCCGCCTGCGCCGAGTGGCCAGCCTCGCGGGCCAAGTGGGGAGCAGGCAGCGGGCGGCGGGCTGCGGGCGGCGGGCAGGTGGCCCCGGGCCGCCGCGCCCGCGCTTTGGCTCTGCCCCCAGGAACCTAGCGAACTGCTGCTCCCTGTGGCTTGAGGGCGGTGATGTTTTTCCTCCCACCCACTTTTGGTTCCCCCTCCCCCCTCGCGCTCACTTTAGGCTCTCGCCACAACCTGCGAGCCCCAGACCTAGGAGGAGCGCCCCGGGGAGCTCAGAGCGCGTGCACGCCTGGAAGACGGAGGAGGCCAGTGGCCAGGTCAGTGAGCAGTGCCTGGCGCCCCCTTCCCCTACCTTCCTTTCCAGCCTTTGCACAGGTGGGATATCTCCTGCTGCCTGGAACCGCCCTTGGAAGTTCCCTCAGGGCTCCCTGAACTCTCTGGACCCGGCCCCCCAACTCCCTCCAGGATCCAGCTACCAGCGGCGGGCTGGAGGTGGGGCTCAGGGCACGGGAGGCAGCTTGGGATTCTGGATTCGAACTCACCACATTCCACTCCCCACTGGGCCTGCATATCTCCATACTCTGGCACTTGGAGGAGGCCACTTAGGAAGCCCCCTAACAGGTTCTACAGTCCCTTAATCATCGCGTGTGTCCGAAGCCTTTTTTTTCTAAGTTGCTGAAGTGCCCTGGACCTGTGGGTGATTAATACGTGCAAAAGTTAATGAAACAGAGAGGACAGGTTAGAGGCTCCTCTGTCCTCTGGATATCTGCCTCATTTTCAAGCCCAGATCACTGGGGTCAAAGTTAGAGACCTAGGCTCAGGAAGCAACACAGTATCGGCAGATTTCAGGGTCTGAAGAGCCTGTCTTCTAGTCCCTCTGGCCTGGCAACTAACTCTATGAGAATAGGCAATTGAGTTCTCTAGGCTCCAGAGTGACTGGAGTTGTTGTGGGAGATAAAATGAAATGATAGATAAAGGTGTTTTGCAAGCCAAATGCAAGACATATTTTTTCAGTCAAAAGAAACACTAACGCATTGACTCTGACAAGAGACACCCTGGGCTAGAACTGCCATTTTTCAGTGGTAACCCACCACCGGTGAACTGAGCTTTTCTTGTTGGGATGTGGAGGAGGAAGGGATTTTAGATGGACACAGGACTGAGACTGCGGTGTCTTCTTATTGTTTGTCAGAAAGAGAATTACTACTATGGGGGCTGTCCGACAGATGATAGCGAATGTGAGATTATAAAGTCAGTCAAGCCTCTTGGGAGGATTAAAGAAACTGTGGAGCATGAAGAACTGACTGACATGTGTTCAGCCCTTAGCCTTCCTTTGAGAATGTCTCTGGTTCTGTTCTACCCAGGAGACCTCTCCTGAGAATGGACAGACTCCTGACGACTTGATGGCCCAGATTGCCTTGCAGGTAGAGCTGGGCGAGGAGCCCTTGGGCCCTTTGCTCAATGCAAATGAACAATACCCATGCTTGTTTCATTGATGCATCTTAATCTACACATTTCTTTAGGTTCTGACAAGTTTCTTTTTCTCTTGTAAAGCCCGCTACCCCTCCCCCTCCCCAGCGTTAGTTGCAGGGTTTTGTTTTCTTTTTTGTTGTGGCCTGGATCCCCCCCAAAACATGTCAATGGTTACATTTCTAAGTAACCTGTCAAAGAAACAGTGCAAGTGCAGTGGCACAACAGCCTGTGTGAAGCAGAGAGTTAATGCAGAAATAACTCCAGTTAACTGGGTCAAAGCATAATTTGAAAAATTAAGGACAGTTTGGTTTTTTGCAAGTGTAACAGTCGGCATGTTTGCTGAGCAGTGCTTGCTTGTGTTTATTGCTGCGGTCCCAACAAATGTCTTGAGCCACCCTACTCCCCTAAAATAAAAGGTTAAAGGGATAAAGAGAAACTGAATAGTGAGGAAAACTGGGGAGGGAACTCTCTTGGTTTATATTTCTGCCCAGAATACAAAGGCAGGACTGCAGAATCTTGTAAATCAAAAGTGAAGATTTATAAAGTGATTCGTTTTCTGATGTTCTCCATCACAGCCTGGGAGGCCACACAGATGACAGGAATGCCAGAAGAGATTAATTGCTCTCTCTCGTCATCAACGTTTCTATTTGCTCATAACATTAGTTGGGACCCAAGAAAAGCAAAAAAATTCTAAAAGCCATTTTCTTGCCAGCTTGAGTTATGAAGCAATGCTACTGTTCACTGAATCGCCCAACCACTGTACAAGAAAAACAACCCTGTTGGTTCTTACATGGGGAGACCTGAAAACTGTGGTTTCAAAAATACCCCCTGAGATCCATATGTGATTGTGATAAATTGGATTTCAGTGGTTTAAACATTATTTCTTATTTAGAGACTTGAGGGATCATCTTATTAAAGTAGACTCAGGAAGACCCTCACTGGGATGGGTAGCTGTGTTGAACTGTTCATGCACATGATTTGCTTCAAGAGAACCTGGTAGCTCTCAGAAGACAGACGTTCTGAGTGATTGAAGGTGGACCACAAGCTCACAGAGGGGACTGAGACGTCAGAACCCAGGCCTGTGGCAGACTAGGAACATGTCCTAGGAGAATTTAGTCCTTGTTTAAGAAGCAGCGAGGAGGTAGAGAAGGCAGAAGGGTACTGCAAATCCTGGCTGATGGCAGCAATTGTTCTTTATGATCAGTACTTCTTTGGTTACATATTCATAATTTGAAACAATGGATTTCTAGTTATCTGGACAACTTCATAGCATTTAACGTAGGAGCTGTGTCATCCACATCACAGCCCAAAGACAATTCAATTCTCTCGAGCAGTCATCTTGCACTCCCTCCAGCTCTTTATACGTGATATTTAGGTTGGACCCTCTGGAAAAAGATCAATAAGCTGAGCTGCCATCCAGGGTTCACCCTAGATTGAAATGTGCTGTTTCTCAAATATTTAAATATTTTCAAATCACCCATTAAAAGAGTTTTGCAGACTCTAAAGTCTATGAAAATGATCTGTGACTTGATATGATCTATAGCAAACTTTCTGTGTTCCAAGGCTCAAAAGATTTAAGACTTCTACCCCTGAGACTGGAAATGCAAGTCTCATACTTTTAAGAATTGTAGTTGCTTTGATGGTCTTTTGTATGGTCATGTGATATGAACACATTACGTATTTAATTTTGTCTAAATTCCCTTAAAAGTGGCTCGTTTTAAATTTCCATTTCACAATGGACTTCATGTAAGAGGAATATGCCTAAGCCATTCAGGTATTCAATTGCATCCATTTGCTAATTACATCTATGTTTTCCAACATAAGCAAGCCAAACTGAAGATCCTTATACATCCCATGGAGGACACAGGAGAAACAATGATGAATTTGTGCCTCATCCTTGAAGGATTAATAAAACAGTAGTCTTGTAGCTAAGATTAGTTAACTTACATTTCAGAAATTGTTTGGATATCATGCCTGTTAGTTTTATCTACTTTGCCAAAGTAGCTGTTTTGCAAACCCCAGTTTCCCTTTTCTCCCAAAGAAAATCTCTTGAGAAATCAACTTTAATTCCCTTAGAAATGAGGATTTCAAAATTTATTTTTATTTCCCTATGACTTGCCTGTAAGGATTCAGCCTTAGCATTGGATAGGAATGCAAGTTTATCCACTTGAATTTCCCCCCACAGTCTTTGCAAGACAAGAGTGACAGGGTCTCTTTCTTACATGGGAAAACAATGCTTGCACTTACATAAAATCTCCAGCATTTTTGTTTTCTACCTAGACAATTAGAAGCCTAAGCATCAGTGATCTCCATCACTTCTAGAGGATCTGTTTTAAGTTTTCTTCTCTGCTTTCTTCTTGACAGCTTGACTACACCCGGCCCTGAAAGTTTTGAGTTGCCTTTTGCAGTGGCCAAAATGAGAAAAAAGTGGAAAATGGGAGGCATGAAATTCACCTTTTCCTTGTTGCTGTTCTTTCTTTTCCTAGCAGGAAGCAAAACAGAGCAAGTAAAACGTAAGTGTCTCGAGTTTGGAAAACAGGATGCTTTCTTGTAATTTCTTTGAAAATGTGGTTATAATCTGTGGGAATTGTGATTTAGCCCAAATGTGGCCATGCCATTATTCTAAGAGAAGAAAGTGAATGTTACTGGTTAATGCACGATTTGATAAAAGAATAAGATCTTTGAATTGGGCCAACTAAATTTGGGGCTGTTTTTCTGATTATCATATAGTTTTCATCTTGTAGAACACATGACACGTTAGCCTATTTTCCTTTTCCTGTTTCCAACTGTACAAATCTCATTCCATTTTATGTAGCTCTAGAAATACCTGACAGATGAGCTTGATTTTTTCGCATATTTCAGACTCTTCAGCAAAGGTTTTCAGTTTATGAAAAAGAATAACAGAAAAGAAAAAACAGAAAGAAAATCAGGCTCTGCCTATTCCCTTGTGCAGAAAAATGAAGAAGGAAAATACCTTCACATTAACTGGATTCAGATGAAAAATCCTTTGAGGAAATTGAGATTCCAGGGACCGTGAGCAAATTGGATGCCATTTATTGAAAGGAATAATTTCCCGCAAAGCCAGGGAATATTTCTAGAAAGTCAGCGATCCGTGTGATGGGGCTAACACGCTGGAGAAAGCAGAGTGGCAGGAAGGGGGGCTAATTAACCCTCCGTGCTGCCACATTTGGGAGATTCATGAGTAATCGTTGACATCTCTGTTCTTGTTAGGAGCTTTCTGCTACCTTGGCACAGTATGAGCCGCCTCACCTTCTTTGGGCCACTTGCAGCCACCTTTGAGGTGGACATTTGCTCCAAATTTGAAAGAAAAGCCAGAGTTCTAGTTCCCCTTTTGGACTGCATCAAAAGAAGCACAAAGTGGAATTATACCAAGAAGGGCATTCTCTGCTCCACTGAACTTATTCATGAGAAGGAACTTTGAAAATATTCTTGGTAGGAGCGGAAGCAGCATCTGAGGCCTGTCATTTAAACATTTATCTCCTTTATTAGCATAATTTAAATATATTAGGCATGAAGTTTGTTGACAGGGGCAATAGTGCCAAACCTATTCCATTGCTATTTATGTTTCTGTCCCACTATAATTTTAATAGTAAACAGTCTTCTTCCTGGGAGAAAAAGTGCTTTTGATTAGGCTTTTAAGCATGAATGATGTGTGGCGATATCTAGTATGATTGAGCCATAAGAGGAAGTTTAGAAGGGTGTGATCTCACCAAGGAAACTTGGATCGGTCTCTCCCCTTGTAATCCTTAAACAACCTCTTTCCCCTTCCATTTGAATACAGTCCATCAGATCCCTCCACTTCTAGAAGTCCTCCTTGATTTAAAAAAGTTGTCCATCCATTCTTACCTCAGCTCAGCTCACAATCATCTGGTCTTAAAATCATTCCTGTCTTAGAAATAAACTTCACTCATGGCCTGGTACTGATAGTATCATGGGGGAAGTTTGCAACTCTTAGAAGATCATGTCTTCTGGGAAGCCTTCCATATTTATGAAGAATTGAGGAATATTGTCCATGCAACATAGAGCTTAGTTGGCAAACCAAAGAAAAATACAACTTAAAAGCTATTTACAAACTAAAAACTGTCACTTTTTAATGTTTCACACTGCCTATAAATTTGTCCCAAGCCCTTTTGATATTCAACTGGTGTCAAAATGATTCTCTAACACATGGCCTAGGGCACCAGTTCTGATCTAGTAGGCTTATAGACAGATGATGAAGCAAGGGTCATGGTAATTCCCTGAATAAGCAACTCAGCATCATTTTTTGTGGTCACACCAAGGCTAACTATCTTGAAGACGTATACAAAGTTATTTCTACTAAAGGGGACATCTCAAAGCATATGCCCCATGTATGTTCCCTTGATACACACACACACACACACACACACACACACACACACGCACACAAAGCATGCACAGAGGTTTATTTTGCAGCTCTAACAGTGAGAAATAAGTAGTGGAAATGTCAATGCACTGGGGAATAAATGGTAGCATAAATGATTCATATAATGTAATATCTCCCTACCATTAAAAACACTGCTTATTGAAAATCTGATAGCACTGGAAAATTCGTATATTAACTTATTTTAGATTTCCTTAAATTATAAAATTAATAATACTCATTGTACAAAACAATATGAAAGTATCTAAGCTTTATAAAGAACGTGTATCCTTCAACTCCCATCGTACTCCCCAGGGGTAACAATTACTAACAGGTTGCTAGGTATTCCTACAAACTCTTTTTTCTGTGTTATAAAAACAAACATACATGTATATAGGGTTTTGAAAAATAAAAATGGGATATATATGTCTTTTTCTTTAACTTGATTTTATTCAGCAAGTTAATGTATCTAGGACAGCCTTCCATGTCAGAACATTGAAGTACAATAGTACCATATTCTTTCTAAAGCCTACATAGTTTCCAATTGTATAAGTGTGACACAGTTTATTTAACCAGTACCTATTTGTAGTTTGTTTCTAGTTTTTGCTGTTGAAAGTAAGGCATTAATGAACAAATATTAAGCAAGTGGGCACGTATTTGTGAGGAATTGTTAGGTCAAAGTGTATCTTCAGGGCCGGCCGAGTGGCGCGATGGTTAAGAACTGGCTTGGGACGCCAGAGGGCCCCGGTTCGGATCCCACATATGAGGGCCAGTGACATTGCCCT